TGCTAGTTGCAAAGGAAAATGGCCTCTGTTCCTGGTTCCTGACAATGGAAGAGCAAAGGAGCACAGCCAGGACCGTGACTAGCTGACAGAGTGATGCACAGCAAACGCACGAAAAGTACCGCCGGCCTCAAGGTCTGCCGTGTGCAGGGAAACAGCGTCCAGCATCCTGCCAGGGACAGGGCAGCTCCAACAGCAAAGTTTCCAGAGGTGGACAGCACCGTTTGTTTGCAATGAACAGGCTGTTCAGGAAGTTTAGTGAATTAGCTATGTTTGTTCCTACTGCAGAAGTGTTGATTTCACAAGAGCTGAGTGGAAGAATTTGCACTTAACAGTATGACTGGGTGTAATACTTCCCCCACTAGACAGAAACAACACTTCCAGGGGGTTACACCTCCTCAGGATATCCTACATTGGGCTGCCGAGTCTCAGGAGGAGGCACTATTTCAGGATCCCTGCATGACCAGTGCATAGCAGGCCCTTCTTCTTGGTACCCAGATACCCCATCCACAGTTTGAGGTCAGCAGCACTCTCAACGCTGATTTTACACACCATAATGATGAGAGACCTGGGGGGCTGGGACTGCACCTTGTGTGCAGTTGCACCTGGACTTTGGCTTCATGTGGGATATGAGGATAAGCAGCAGCCTATTGTGCTTTTCATAGCATTGTGGTTTTTTCATGGCATTTTTTTTAAACAGAGTCTAGCCCTGGCTGACTCTTAGCCTGACATGAAGAGGTTAAACACTGTGTGAAACAAGGAGAGCTTCCTGCAGGATGGAAGTGGAAGATTAACTGCAGATTCCTTATATTTGTGACTTGTTGCATGACTTGTAGACCTTCTTGCACTCAACCTAGACTGTCAATGGGTCAGTTGTCTTTGCTGTAGGTCTGGTGCAGTTCTCCAGTGATGCTAGGTTGTACTTTGAGGACATAAAATGCGTAAGGGATGAGGAGAGCCTTAAATAGCGTAAGAGCTGGGTCTCATCCTATACTGCTGCCTGATCCAGGTCAGAGCAGGTCTTGGAGAGAGGGGCAGGCAGCACAGTGCTCCATGAAGCTGTTGGAGCTGCTGTCTCAGCTGAGCACCACACTGCAGCTTGCGCCTGCCTCTCCCCCACTCAGAGGGAGTCCTGCTGGGACGTGCAGCAGCTTGACCCAGGTCCTCCCTCTCACTTCTCGGCAACGGTCTGAGCGTGGCCTCCCTCGGGAGAGATGACTCACCCAGGCGTGGCAGACACGGGTCTGGTCAGCCCCCATCAATGAGCAATACAACACAGGCACTGGCCAAGACGCAGGGCTATGAAATGGTCACTGCCAGAATTTAAGGATCCACAGCCAGCTCCACCTTGTGGGTCGCAGCCACAGAAGGGAAGTGTGAGAGTAGTAGTACAGAACATAAGAAACTTTTGCTCAATTTTCTTTCTCCCATACTCCCAAATCCCACCCTCCTCCCTCCATATTACAGTGACAGAGATGCAAACCAAACACACCTTTCTAGGAGCTGATCTCTATTTCAAAAGAAGGCTGCTCCTGTAGGAATAAAATATGAACACTGGCATGGGGTGATAAACAAGTCCCTACAAATTTTTGCCACCCAGTTACTTCCTTCCCTTCTTAAATACCCTGAAACAAATATTACTACAGTAGCTCCAGCCCCATACAGTTGTGAGAACACTTCATGCAAAAAAAAAAAAAAAAAAAAGGGAAAAAAAACAAAAAAAAACCCACCACAAAAAACAAAAAACCAATCCCTCCACTCAGAGGGAGTCCTGCTGGGACGTGCAGCAGCTTGACCCAGGTCCTCCCTCTCACTTCTCGGCAACGGTCTGAGCGTGGCCTCCCTCGGGAGAGATGACTCACCCAGGCGTGGCAGACACGGGTCTGGTCAGCCCCCATCAATGAGCAATACAACACAGGCACTGGCCAAGACGCAGGGCTATGAAATGGTCACTGCCAGAATTTAAGGATCCACAGCCAGCTCCACCTTGTGGGTCGCAGCCACAGAAGGGAAGTGTGAGAGTAGTAGTACAGAACATAAGAAACTTTTGCTCAATTTTCTTTCTCCCATACTCCCAAATCCCACCCTCCTCCCTCCATATTACAGTGACAGAGATGCAAACCAAACACACCTTTCTAGGAGCTGATCTCTATTTCAAAAGAAGGCTGCTCCTGTAGGAATAAAATATGAACACTGGCATGGGGTGATAAACAAGTCCCTACAAATTTTTGCCACCCAGTTACTTCCTTCCCTTCTTAAATACCCTGAAACAAATATTACTACAGTAGCTCCAGCCCCATACAGTTGTGAGAACACTTCATGCAAAAAAAAAAAAAAAAAGTGAAAAACAACAAAAAAGACCCCAACCCCAAAACAGAAAAGCCCTTCCCTGGCTATGCAGGTCTGGAAATCTCAATGTTTCCTCATCACCCCTGGGAGAGGGAAGGGCTTTGCCTAGACACAATCCAGCACAGAGTCACCAGCAGTTCTCCACTCCAGCAGATTCCCAAGGTGCAAGACCTAATCCTGCCCTGACTTGCAGGCAGTACGTGGAACTGTGGGTTCCTCTCGTGGTCACCAGGTGAGTGAAAGGAGAGGCAGGCCCTGAGGAGCCACACTGCCTTTACACATGTCTGCCGAGGTTCAGCTGGGTGCGGAGAGGGCAGTACCAGCCAGCACTTGCTAAGTACCGGAGTTTCTGCAGACCTGTGAAACATTCCCAGGATTACTGCTGTCTTTGCCTAACTTATAAAGGCAAAGAGGGCAAAAAAAACAATAACAAAATCCAAATCCATCAACACACCTGTAAGGTTACAAACTACTTCTACACAGACACTGCTTCGTCATTCAGCACAGGGCTAAGCATGCTCCTAGGTAACTACGGGGGCACAGCGGGCACCGTGGGGGGGCAGAACTTTCCAGGTTTCTGTGGTGCCTCCCTCAGGCCTTGCTCAATTCCTATTACTAGACAACATCTACAATAACTCACAAACTTCCCACAGGCCCTGCAGGGCACCGGTCCCAGCATGCTCCAAATGCCTCCTGTTCTCGTTTAATCTGGCCAAGCGTGGCAAGCTGGGACCAGTACCCTTCACAAGGAATACTGCTCGGCTGACATGGAGCAGGACATCTCTGTGGACTGTTTCCTAATAAAAAAAAGAAAAAAAGAAACGAAGAGCAACTGTGATTTGCTCCATTTAATTTCAATTAACTGCAGCCCTTAGAGGCCAGGAGAGATGCCAATCTAGCAGTTTGTTGGCCATCCCCTCGGGGATGTCCCATTTCTCAAATGCCCCTTTCCCAACCAAGCCTCTAGTCTTTTCTGCTTAAAGGAGTTTTAACAAGTCGTTAAATCCCACTGTGTTAAACTAATAAGAGCTTTAAAACCTGCAGTTCCTTTTCCTCTGGAGGATGTGACTGAACGGTGGAAAGGACATGGTCAGGCAAGCACCCTCCTCTGCAGTGGGGACTCTGCTACCTCTGGAAGCTCCTGACAGTGACCAGTGTTACTGGATCCTGTTAGAAAGACATGATGCAGTTAGGGCTGGGGAAGAGGAAAAGGAGCAACTGTTGTCCTTGGTATGCTAGAACTTCTCCTCCCTCCCTAGGTGGGGAAACAGGCAGCTTATTTGCAAAAGGCAAGTGGTTTCCTAAAAAACTACTGAAAAAACGCGAAGGCTGCTCAGCCCCTTCCCCTAGAAAACTGTAAAAACGTTGGAGACACAGTGTGGCAGCAGGGAGGCTGGGAAGGCAGCACGGGGACAGCTGCTGTCTCTGGACCATGCCACAGCCACGGCAGGGTCCAGAGAGGTCTGGCTGTGACTTGTACATGCTCCCCATAGAGGATTCAGGAGCTCAGGTCCTCTCTGCCCTCTGGGTGTTCAGTGGGCAGTAAGTGGCTGTGGCTGGTCTCCACACTGTCCAGGCAGCTGCTGGTATGTTGGCGTATCCTGCCCGAACAGACCTCGAGGCTGTTCTGTGACCGTAATTGCTGTCAGCGACCAGTCCCGGCTCGGGCTCCCCTCCTCCGGAGGTGTCTCCTTTGAGTGTGCTGCCGCTCAGTTGCTTTCTACCAGCTTGGCTAGTCCCTGACGGATCTCACTGAGCTCAAATATCTTCACATCCATTATCTCTGCCACCTTGGTGACCTCGTTCTGGATCTTCTCCCTCTCAGCCAGGGTCTCTGCCAGCGTCTGCTCGGCAAGGTGAAGGCGTCGCTCCAGTTCTGCGTTGCATGCCTCCAGCTCCTGCCAAAGGACATAAGTGCAGTGAGGTGGCTGCCCCAGCACTGATACACACCGCTCACAGACCACCATCCTTATCTCCACAAAACAGCCCTGCTAGCCCCCCAGCACCAGGCTACCCACACCCAGCCAGCCCAGTCTCCATCAGTTCTTTCACTGAGGGACCTCCCTATCTTGAGCCACAGCACCCTGGCATGAGAGCACATGTTCCCCAAACCCAGGTATCTGCCCACAGTTTGCAAAGGCGTATAAATGCAGATCTCTCCACATGCCTATCATCTCCAGGTCTGATGACATTTGATGTTTGGAGGTATTTTTCTGCCATGAAAGCCAGTGTGTGTGTATGGGGCTGAGCCCTGCAGCAGATCCCCTTGTTCAGTAGCTCGGAGGTAAACACAGGCAGGCAGTGCCCCCAGAGACTGCACAACAGACCGTGCTTCCATCTGCGTCCTTGCCCTGAGGTGCAGAGCAGCTTGCATCCCTCCTGCCAGCCAGACTGAGTCAGAGCTCTACTCCCCAGCCATCCCTGCCCATCCAGCAAGCTATGCAGGACTTCAGAGAGATGGAGGGTCACAGGACATCAGAGGTCCTGCTCCAGTCCCATGTCAGGGGCTACTGCAAGTGCTAGAGGAGAGTACGTGAAGGCTGGGTTTGCTACAGCCTGCTGATTGTGCCCCATCCCATATCTCTGAGGGATACAGGGAAGGTGGAAGAAGGCAGAGACACAGGCAAGGACCTGTTCCCATTATCCAGAGGCAGAGATAGGCATGGCAGCTCTGTGGCATTCACTCTTTCGCTCAAAGAGGAAACGGGGACGGATCCCTCTACTCTGAGTGCAAAAGTGTCCCAGATCTGCCATCCTTACCTGCAGCTTCTGCAGTGTCTCCTCACGCTCGCCCTCTGCTTCCCATCGGCCACACTTCTGGCTCTTTAGCATCTGAATCTCCTAAAACACAAGGAAGAGCAACGTGTCAGACCCGCTCCTGTCCCAGTGGGGCCAGCTCCTACCACATACCCCAACCAAGGCCCCTTCCCTCTCTCCAAGGATCACGTAACCACACGCAGCTCCGAATTTTAATACCTCCCTTTCTAACCTTCTATTTCTGCTGTACCTGCTGCCTCCCTCTAAGCCGTTAGTCCCTAGTCAAGATGACCGTCTGAGTGCCAGCAAGGTTCAGTGGTCTCTGCACCCTGCTGCATCCTTGCTCAAGATCAGATCCCACGCTCCTGGGGCCACGGTCCCTGCTCAGCTTTTGCACACCTTTGCCTTGCCCTAGCGTTCTTCCTCTAGCCTGAATAGCTCTGGGGAGGGGGGAGAGATCTGTTCTCACTAAGGATCAGGAACCCCAAAACACCTCCCCTCCCCAATCCCTGCTTTGTGGCTCCAACCCTGAGGCTCTGTCCACCCACCCTGCTGAAGCACGGCCACCAGAGAGCCTGCAGATGTGGAGAGAATCTCTCCGATTTGCACATCTCCCCTCCTTCACAGCCTGTGTAATTAAAATTCTGCTTTAAATCATTCATTTAAATGCAGTGAAAGCGAGAAGCAATTACTACACTAGAGGCTAACTGCAGCTGCAGATGGCTGAGAGGGGAAGGGGCAAGACGCATCCCTGCTGTTTGTGCAGTGTCTGAGACTCTCCACACAAGGCTATTTCCATGGGAAACTCCCAGCGCTTTACTGTCACTCAGCTTTGCCTTTCTGAGAAGGGAGACCACTGAGGGGGCTGTGCTGGCTTACAGAGGCTCCTGGCTTGCATAGGCGGCATGTGCAACGGCACGAGGGGCCCTCTGATCTCATACAAGCTGTAGTGACAGGCAGGGTGTTGGTGATTGACAGGCCACCCAGCTTCAGGCTTTACTCTGCTTTGTGGGGTATTACCTCGTCTTTAGCCTTGATCAGTATTTCCAGCTCCTCCAGGGTTTGGCTCAGGTCTTCCTTGTTGTTCTCACTGGAGGAATCGTGAGCACCCTGTGACTCCAGTTCTGCTACCTACATGGAAGCAAGCACAGGGAAGGCGCGCTCAGATATAGGAATGTCCTGATACCTTATCATTCACAGTCATTCTCTGTCATGTTTTGGCTTCCTTGCAAACCCAACCAGGCTTACAACAGGATAGCAGCTCCCACCCTGGGGCTGTTTAGAAAAAAATTCTCTCCTGCTCTGCATAGATCACGCACAGAAACACATTGCGGGAAAACTCTGTCTAGAGGCTCTGTCTCCGCTTTCTCCTGCAGTCTTGCACCTCCAGCAAAGCCTGACTGGTGGACATCACCACATGAGCCTACAACCCATAGCGATGGCTAGATCCAGCTCCATTTACATCCCTGGGCAGAGATTGACGAGGGCAAGGGAGTTACCGCAGCTCAACCACAGCAGAATTGGGAGGAAGGGTTTGCCCAAGCGTGCTCCCCATTCCTGAAAAATTCAGCCCAGTGGCTTAGATTATTCATGAAGAGGATTAATTTTTAAAAGCTCATCAGAAGGTCTGCAGCAGCTATTGCTGGGGCCCAAGCTCTCACAGGGCCTGCACTGAGCTCTACAAATGCAGCTCCAGCTGCATTGGGTACTCTCACATAGACAGGGTTCGGACCCTGCTGTGACACCTTCCCACGAGCAGGGGCAGCAGGGCAAGACTGGCTGGATTGGACCTCTGCCAGGGTCCATGTAAACAGTGGTTGTAAGCTGTCAGGCTCACGGGGCCAGAATCAACCAGCTCTGGTCCCAAAATGCTCCAGTTTAGGGACAATAATCTAGACATTTCACTGAGTTAGTTTCTTCTGTGATTCTGCAAAAGTCCCCAGTGGTTGCCCTTCACCGAAGGCTCACAAAATCCTCACTCTCAGCTCCTGGCTGTGAGAACAGCCACCAAACAGCTGAGTGCGCACAGAGCAATGGCAGGGAAAAGACAGCTCATCCCAGCCATAGGCACAACCAAGATCTCTGCTGTACCTAGGGCAGGCTCCTGCTGCAGAGAAGAAAATTCGTTCCGTGCAGCTCTTTTACTGTCTGACTCCAGCACTGAAAATTAGCAATGGGCACAGAGAATCTTGGGGGACGGCTGTTTACTGCACAGATTGGCCACACAACAGCCATCAAGTGGAAACAGCTGTTAATTGCTATAAATCCCTGCTGTCTTTTGAATGAGATATCTAGAAGTGAAATGGCTTTATGCCGCCTTCTCCAGGCAAGGAGACTCTGGAAGTCCTTTCCCAGCCAAACCCCAACTGTCCTAAAACCCTTTCCCAAGTACTCCGCAGCTCTTCCCTCCCAGCAAACCCAACCATGTGACAGTCACTCCTCTGCCCAGATGCACACAGGCCTCCTCAGTTGATCTGTGACCTCTCTGACATTACGTAGGTCAAAAGATCCTATTATTCCAACCAAACAAGGGCTTGTTTGTACTGCACCACCCGGGTTTCATGATGTTGCAGCTTGGATTCGAGCTAATTATAGCAGATAGAGCAATCTTCATCCTTCCTGTCAGCAGCCAGAAGATTGCCCTGACGCCCAGCTCAGGGTGGGCATGGGCCTTACTCAGTATTGCTGGCAGCTGGGAACTACCCCCAGAAAATCTGAAGGGAAGCTGGTATCCTTTGACTTTGTGCTCTGGTTTCCTCCCTTTATCCACGGGGACTCAGCACAACCCCAACTTGCTCTGCAGAAAACAGGAGCTCTTGTGAGAGCTCCCTAGTTACACGGCCTTATTCCTTGACATGTTTTCCCTGCCAGGCTCATGCAGCATCCTGGATTTCCTTCTCATCTCCTGCTGACACCCATGGAAACTGATGGGAGAAGGGGGTCAAGGGCACCATCTGGCTCTGGGACAGGGCTTCCTCTGACCTGCTTTGCAAGGGCCCTCCTGTGCTCACCCGCTGCCGCAGTGTTTCCGTCTCCTCCTGATAAGCAGCCAGCTGCTTCTTCCACTGGTCCACGTTGGCGTTGGCTTCATGGAGGGCAGCCACAAGCTTGTTGTTGTTGTCCTGGAGGCTGAAGAATTCAGCCTCCCACTGGACCTCACTCACCGAACTGTGTGAGAGAACAGGGGAAATGTGCAGGAGAGCGTAACAGAGTCTCAGCATGAAGGTTTCTTCCCCCAGTGCTAACATGCACTGAAACCATGCTCTTGGAACTGCTGGGCAGCTCCCTGTTTTATATTTGGCTTTCATATCACTTCCCAAATTTAAATGCTTCTTCCAGCTCTGAATCTGCATCTCTTTCCTTTATCCCTGGATAATATTTGACTTTGAAGCCATGTGTGCTTGCTTGAAACTGCAGAAACCACACTGCGAGATTAATGGGGTGGCGGGGTGGGGGAGATACAGCTTTGCAATGTGGGACTGTGGATCCATTTTTAAAATCTTTGTTAGGTCTGAGTTTGCTCTGAATAAACCCCTATCACCCCAGACTCAGGAGAAGGTAGCAAAGGACACTGGCTTTTGATTTAAAAATATTCTAAGTGTTCAGCTGAGAGCTCAACGGGAGCCACAGGGCAGAATCCAGTCCAGAGTCTTTTGAACAGACAAAGAATGGAAGCAGCGGGGACTTTGCTGGAATCATCAGGGGAATTAACATAAATGCAGCCCTGGGCCAGCTGGAAAAGTGTGAACATCTTCTGGTATCACAAACTACTGATCTGTAGATAACTGGCATCAACTCATCCCCGCTGTGGGCACAAAGCATTCTCCTTCCCACGCCTGAAGAGCGGATTTCACCTCCAAGCTGGAATAACTTTCCACTGGGGAAGAGGGGAAATTGGTACGGTGGAGGGTTTGAGCAGCAGCGGACATGGGGCATTATTCAGCTACCTAAAGAAGTAGCATTGGGTGAAAAGCATTTGGGATGACAGGGACATGCACCAAATCATGACAGAATAGACAGTTTAAGAGTCAGGAGCAGAGAGCACTTGTGGCAGCCTCACCCTTCTGAAAGCATCTTCTTCAGCCGCTCCTTCTCTGTTGTTATCTCAACATCGGCACTTTGGCTCCGGAATAGTTTATCTTCTCCTGGCCCATTGGAGCTGATGATGGGGCTGGGAAGCACCTGGGGGGTGAGGAAGAGGTGGTTATCACACAGCAGTGAAAACAGGCCATGAGGCCATAAGGTCTCTGCAAACTCATTCACAGCCCGGGTTCACAGGGCTAGTTCTCAGTCCCTGCACTCTCGTGAGAAACGCTGGCTTTCAGTCCTAAGTCTTAGGTGGTGCTGTGCTTGTCTACATGACAAGGGGCGGCAAAGATCCTCACGTATGGCTCAGCAGCACCAGTCATGGCATAGTGATGACTTCAGAAGCTATGCGGATGCAGGGCTTTCTCTTGGATATATAGGTTAGTGCTTAGCTCTTCCAGCAGCTGCCCTGCTGCCGTGTCCTCCCTTTCCCTGTCTCCATGCCATGCTGGGGCAGTGATCCCAGTGCCCAGATACCCTGAGCAGGTGGGCTCACAGCTTGCGCACACCAGCTATTCCTCCCTCCCGACCTGAGGTACTGAATTCTCTGGCCCTCAACTTCCCCGTGACAAATGCCAGCGATGTTACAGCCTGTAACCCGAGTCCCGCGGCTGTGCGCAACACTCCGAGCTGCTCAAGCTGGCTGTTTCAGGGGTTTGCTGAATTCTTAATAGGATTTTCTTGCTGGTTCTCAGAGCAGTGGAAAGGCTTAATAAACTCTAAACACAGGCCTGCCAGGCCACCTGGGTTCAGTCGCAAGTCCAGTTTCTGTACCTTGAATTAAGACACCAGGTGCCACTGGGATAGTGTTTCTCAGGCTCAAGGGAGGGAAGCTCTGCTATTGCTCAGATGACTGTGGCACTGTGCTGGTTTTGGCTGGGATAGAGTTAATTTTCTTCATAGTAGCTAGTGTGGGGCTGCATTTTGGATTTAGGATGAGAATAATGTGATAACACACTGATGTTTTAGTTGTTGCTAAGCAGTGTTTATACTAA